CCCGCCCTCGAGGCTCCACCAGATCCACGTCCACCACTAAACACAGCTCCACCATCAAATACTCACCCCCACCACCACTCGCTCCAACTCTCCCGTGCCCCCCCCGCCTCGCTCCACTCCCCTCGCTCGCTGCCCCCCACCCCCCGCGATGACCCCCCCACCCCCACCCCCCCACCCCCACCCCCCCACTACCCACCTTGTCCATCTCGTTGTGCAGCTCGGCCAAGGTCGGCCTCACCATCTGCTCCCCCACGAGGCTCGCCGCGTTCGCGTAGAACTCGATGTTGGGCACCGCGTCCAGAGTGTTGTGCCCGAAGGTTCTCAGGTAGTACGTGTTGGAGTGGGAGTCGTGCGCGTGCCCCCCGCCCAGCGACGAGTCGCCCCCCTCGCTGCGCACCGTGTCCCCGTTCTGCCCCCCGCCCAGCAGCAGCTGGTGGTGGTGGTGGTGATGCGGAGGGGGTCCCGGCTGCTGCTGCTGCTGCTGGTGAAGGTGACGGCGTCCCACGCCGCCGTCGTCCACGAAGTTGACGTGGTGAGAAGGCCCCCCCCCCTCTGGGGGGCCCCCCCCCGGCCACCGAGCGAGCCTCCTCCGCCAAGGGGCCCCGGTGCTCGGGGTAGCCCGGGGGATCGTCGGGGCCCGGCCCGGGGCCCCCGCGGTGGCGGAGCTCCGCGCCCGACGACGAGGAGCCGCCACCCCCGCCGGGCTCGCAAACGACGTCCACGTGGAAGCGGCCCGCGCTGCCCGACTTCTCCATGGGGCCTCGAGCGGGGACAGAGAGCGGGGAAGACGGGGGGCAGCGGAGCGGGGGGAGCAGGGGGAGCGGAGCGGGGGGAGCAGGGAGAGTAGGGAGACGAGAGAGAGTGGGGGGGCAGGGAGATGGGGGAGCAGGGAGGACGGAGAGCAGGGGGAGCAGGGAGATGGGGGAGCAGGAAGATGGGGGAGCAGGGGGAGCAGGGAGATGGGGGAGCAGGGAGATGGGGAGGCAGGGAGACGAGAGAGAGTGGGGAGGCAGGGAGATGGGGGAGCAAAAAAATGGGGGAGCGGGGAGATGGGGGAGCGGGGAGATGGGGGAGCAGGGAGATGGGGGAGCAGGGAGAGCGATGGTGTGGAGGAGCGTTGCGAGTATCGAGAGAGAGTCACGGGGCCGATACAGGGGGGCTCAGGGGCTACCGTGGGCGATGAGAGCTCGAGATCCGGGGGGTCGACAGGAGGGGGATCAGGAAGGGAGGCGCGGGAGCTACAGGGGGTGAGGAAAAGTGTTGAGGGGGGTGGGGGGGGAGAAACTGGGATGGTGGAGAAGACTCGGGGGGCCTGGGGTTGAGGGTGACGAGGTAGGCGCGGGACCAGGATGAGGTGTCCGGCTTCTGGGTGAGGATGAGCGGATGAGGAAATCTCGATGTCTGGGTGATGGTGATGAGGATGATGTTGATGAGGAGGAGGATGTTGATGAGGAGGAGGTTGTTAATGATGAGGAGGTGACCACGGGTTGCCCCACTCGCCGAGTCGTGCGACTCAGAGTCGCGAGTCCTCGCGCCTTCTTTAATACCCCTCCCCCGCGTGAGGGGGGGGGGGCTCACGCCACTCCCATTGGCCACGCGAGGATCACGTGCGGCCAATAAGCGCGAGGCTTAATACTGGGGGGGGCGGTAGAAACCGAGGGGGGGAATGGAGGGGGGTGGGGGGCCGGGGTGTGACGTCACCTCCACTCATTCATTCATCAAACACGACGCGCACTGTTCACTTCATTTATGTTGGTATAGCCCCGTGAGCCATCCGGCTCTTGAATCGGGTGCAACCACAACAAACAAAAACACGAACAAGAAAAGCATCTTAAAGTGACTACGTGTTGACTGTGCAAACAGAAAATCCATGGGAATAAAAAAACAGCAAAATATTCCTGAAAAAAGCACCGTACACCACCAACGCTGTGTGCAAAAAATCCCAGTGGGATGCAAATCAAACAACCACCACAAGACAACTTAGATTAAGGCCATCAGTCTAACTCAAGTACTACAACAAAACAAACATGTCCAAACCAAAAAAACGTTTTCCAAATCGCCAAAAAATAAAGCCATAATCGCAACGTAACAGTGATCATGTAGTGTTCGATTTCACTCGGACAACTTATGTCTTTCTCCGAACACCGCTTTATTTACAACTCTCAGCACGTCCTCCACTTTCCACAGTATCCTGGTCGCCACGGCTCGCTCGCCACCTTTGTCTCTCCACTCCCCCACGATCACTTCGCTTGCTCCGCCGCTATAACGTCTTCGTCTCCGCTATCACCGTCACTATGCTCTCTCCACTGCTAACTGCTTCGTCTCCGCTCACCGCTATCACCGTCACTACGCTCTCTCCACTGCTAACTGTTCTTCGTCTTCAGCTCCGCTATCACTACGCTCTCTCCACTGCTAGCTGCTTCTCTTCAGCTCCGCTATCACTACGCTCTCTCCACTGCTGGCTGATTCTCTTCTTCAGCTCCGCTATCACTACGCTCTCTCCACTGCTAGCTGCTTCTCTTCAGCTCCGCTATCACTACGCTCTCTCCACTGCTGGCTGATTCTCTTCTTCAGCTCCGCTATCGCTACGCTCTCTCCACTGCTAACTGTTCTCTTCTTCAGCTCCGCTATCGCTATGCTCTCTCCACTGCTAGCTGCTTCTCGTCTTCAGCTCCGCTATCGCTACGCTCTCTCCACTCTTCAATTCCCCGCTGTTGACTCCGAGCTACAATTTTCCCCGCTGTTCTCCCCAAGCTCTCCAAACTCCAACTCCCCCAAGCTCTCCAAACTCCAACTCCTCCAAGCTCTCCAACTTCAACCCATCTCCAAGCTCTCCGCTCTTCAACCCCCTCTGTTGACTCCTGCTCATATACCAGCTCTTATACCCGCTCTCATTACACCCCCCAATTAATTAACCCGCGTCCCCACGGCACTCCGCGTGACGTCACCTGGTTCTCGCCAGACTTCCAGACGCCCCTCCGGCCCTGGCAACAGCACCAAGCAATCACAGCCGTCCTTGGCTCTCCCAACCTAATTGCCCTCACATAACCTGTACTGTATTTGTTATCGTGTAATCACGCCGTTTCCACAACGCACCTTCGTACTCCACTACAATCACAAGGACTGTGACCGAATTTTTTAACAATAAACTACATAAATAACATGTAACACCAAACCCTAGAGCCATAGCTGGCTGCATGAGTTACTCCACAACAACAGAAAGCATCGGTCGGAGTATCAAATTTTTCAATGCACCTTTAAGATCAGCACGCTAAATAAAAATACAGTTAATACTTTGCAGCGTCATCCGGAGCAAAACATTTTATTTTATTTTACGCCAATGAATAGCAGTGGCAGCTAGGGGTGTACAACTCCTCTAGAGCAGTTTTGAGAGAAGATCTCATTGGTAGCGATTCAAGTTGCAGTTTATTGGCAATAGCATTCCAGACCCTGGGGGCATCAATAGCAAAGGCCCTTCCTCCGGTTTTTGTACGGCAATAGGGAATGTGAAGCTGGTAAATGAGCGAAGACCTGAGGTCAAATTTGTTCTTTGGAACAGAGAGGAGATCCAGCAGGTAGTCTGCGGATTTTTTGTAAGTACATCGTGAATAAATAAGATCTGGTGCACAAGCCGTCGAACATTAAGAGATGTTAAGTTTGACCCAATGTAGAGATCACAGTGGTGAGTCCTATATGGGCAGTTCAATGCAAATCTTAAGGCCGAGTGATAGATGGAATCAAGCTTCTTCAGTACAGTACTTGGGGCTGATTTATACACGATGTCACAGTAGTCAAGTAGAGGCAGTATGGTAGCTTTTTTTGTCGATACAGAAAACCAATTTTAATTTTTGTTTTTTTTACCAATATAATCAATGTGATCTTCAAAATTCAGTTTTGAATCCAGGATGACCCCAAGATACTTATAGATCTTGACTTGCTCTATTTGACAATTATTTAAGGAATGTAATTGGGGAAAAATAACTTCCTGCTTTAGTCCTGGTGAGAAGCATAGCACCTTGGTTTTGGAGGTATTCAGGACTAGTTTAAGAGCAACTAGCTGATGTTGTAGTTTGTTGAAATCACCCTGTAGCTTAGCAATCATGTCATCCGGAGAGCGGCCAGCAATAATCAGTATCGTGTCATCTGCAAAAAGATTTACCCTGGAATGATCCAGGTAGTGCCCAAGTCCTTTACATAAAGAGAGAACAAAAGGGGGCCGAGGATGGAACCCTGTGGAACCCCTTTTGTTATCTTAACATTGTTTGACCTCCAACCATCTGTGAATACAGTTTGGGTGCGAGAAAAGAGGTAATTTTGTAACCATTTTACTGCGTTTTCGGAAAAACCGAGGCAACTTAGTTTACTAAGCAGGGTGTTGTGGTCTACTATATCAAAAGATTTGGACAGGTCTAAAAAAAGACAGGCACAGTGCTGCTTATTATCAAGGCTACTGTAAATGTGATTCAGAGAATCTAATGCAGCAGATGTGGTGCTGTATTTTTTTCGGAACCCAGATTGTTTTAGATGTAGTAGATTGTTGGTGGACAGGATACTGCTAATTTGGTAGGTCAGTAATTTTTCAAAAATTTTCATCAACGGGGACAAAATTGAGATAGGTCGGTAGTTATTTGGATCATCTTTAGGGCCCCCTTTGTGAAGTGGACGGACATAGGAATGTTTCCATTCTAGAGGAACTGATGCTTCTTTGATGGACAGGTTGAAAATATGGGCTATAGGTTTGTATATTAGGTGACCAACAGTTAGTAGAGCAAAGATGGGAATACTATCTGCTCCGGTAGAGGAGGACCCTTTGAGGTAGGACAGTTGTTTCAGAACATTGCTTTCATGGATTGGCTGGAAACTAAATTCGTTTAATGTTTAGACAGGGGTGTAGGAATTTGCATGAGCAGGGGTGACTCCCAATACATTATCAAAAAGATTACCAGCTTCAGAAAATTTAAGGTTAAAATTCTCAACTATTTTTTTGGGATCTGAAAAATATTCCCCATTTCGGTTAAGCTCAACGGGCAGATTGTCTGTTTTGGATGCCTTTTCGATACATTTGATTGTTTTCCAGAAAATCCTGGCATTTCCATGTGATTCCAGGAGGGTGGAGGAAAAATAGGCATTTTTTGCATGCCGTATTTTTTGACGCATCTATTCCTTAAAATCCTGTATTCTAGCCAGTCATTGACCAAATTACTTTTCTGAGCACATGCCCAAGCCTTGTCCCTAGTTTTCATGAGCTTTGTAATCAAAGGATCAAACCATGGTGGGCGGTTGCCTTTAGTTTTAAATCTAACCAACGGAGCATGTTTGTTAAGAATTTGGAGAAACGTGTACCTGAAGGTCTCCCAAGCCTTAGTCAGGTTGGGGATATCACAGACCTTGTCAATATCCGAGTGAAGCACATCATTAGTAAATGCCTGAATGCTGAAGTGATCTCACACCAAAAATGAAGGAGTGATCACTAAGGGTATTACCCAGAACACCAGTCAGTGTGAAATTGTGAGGGGCATTTGTCAATAGGACGTCAAGCAGAGATGAATGTCCCGGATTTTTTAGGTTGGGTCTTGTGGGGATATCTATTAATTGAAACAGGTCAAATTCATCTGTAAAATTTGTGGCCACGGCCACATTCAATTTAGATCACCCACTAAAACTATTTCACCTTTAGGGAGGCCCCCAAAAAGCTCTCTCAGTGCAGATGCAGCTTCAACATCCTTCCCACTAGGCGGTCTATAGCAGCACACTACCAATATCTGTTGATTATTTGGAAGAGTTATTCTGAGAGCCAAACCTTCAAAGCAACATTTTTTAAACAAGGAGTGAGCT